CACCTCTGCACGGCACAATCGGTGCCCCTAGGCAAGTCTCACCCTGACGATTTTTTCAGTAGGATAGGAGTGACGATTGGAGTAGAGTCTGCTGCGTCTGCTTCGTCTTTGCTGAGTGTGGAATCTAGTGAAGGCCCGCCGCTCCATGATCTCCAAGATCCATACCCGGAAAGTACCCACACAAACTCGGACGCCGAGGAAGGTACTACGTCGGCAGAGCCGGCGGGCGGGACGTTCTCACTCGCAGGTACTACACTGGTGGGACCAGCGGAATACGCAACATGGACACCAATGATTTCGCGGGGCCCCCCTTTTGGGAAGGGGAACGCGCGGAGCCAACGGCGGGGGCGGAATCGGGGGCAGTCACGAATGCGGGCAAAGCAGCAGGGTCTACAATAATCGCGACAAAAGTTTCACGCACGGGTTCGAATCCCGGCTACTCACTTTCCCAAGCACCATAATGTTCTTTTCGGGCAGGGTCTGGCAAGAGGTCCGGCCCCGGAGATCCCTGCTCTCAATCTCAAAAAGCCCTCGACCCCCTGTGAGTAAGACAGGTGCTCTAACCACTGAGCGTATATCTTTTAATTGCCAATTTTTAAACCATTTAAGGCTGTACTGACTACAGTGGGAAACAGGGCCCCCTGAACCGTAACATTTATTATTCATGAAACCGTCGGAAAAATGCGTTATTGGGGAGAGGACAGGGGATGGGCGGAAACACGTGGAAATGAAGTAGAGTTGTGAATCGGAACGATGTACACGATATATATCGTCCGATATATATCGATATCGGTATCGAAAATTCGTGCCGATGTTCCGACCGATGTTTTCTTAGGGGCTCCGTGAATCAAATTTAGGGTATGCGCAGCAGTACGGAGCCCCTGTACGCCACACACACACAGCACAGCAGCGCAGAAACAGCAGACAACAGCACCATGTCCAGAACCAACCGGGAAGTAGACACAGGGAGAGACCGAAGGAGGGTACTGCTGAGGATACGCGACAATACATCAATCTTAATCTTTTTTTTTTTTTTCTACATTCCGTGCGATGNGAAGAGATAGCTTCAGACACATTTTGCTAACTCCAACGACGTGCTGTAGAACCCAAGCGACCGAAACAAAGCACCCACACCACAGACCAGTGCGAGCT